TCACGCAGACGCTGTGAATGGCTCAGGGAGCTGGCATCTCTGCTTCTCAAGGCACTCAGAGCAGATGTCTGGGGCCACGGCCATCACAGGTAGGAGACTGAGGAGCAGGCCGAGTGGTCCAAACAGCTGAGGCTACAAATGAGGCGAGCAGGTGTCTGAAGGCTCCCGGGGCGGCAGCAGATCTTGGTGGTCTCCTTTTCACGGCCCTCCTAACTGTCTGCAGGTGTGAAGCGGCAGCTGGGGATGGTTCGGCCCGGCCTGAGCATGGTCTCTGTCTTCATCTGCCTCCGAGGCACCAAGAAGGACCTGGGGCTGCCGACCACCAACTACTATATTTATTTTGACAAAGACATGGACAAAGCGTAAGGCATGGGTGTACATGTGCAGGAAGGGTAGCAGCCTGGTCCCCCAGAGCCACAGATGCTAGGGGAGAAGCAGCAGGATACAAGATGGGAGGATATGGGCAACAATCTACTCCAAAAGGATTTTTTCCCACCTGGGCTGTGCCTTGGCTTCATTCCTTGGGGATCCCTGGGGATGAGCTGTGCTGGGGGTGGGGCTGGTGGCTGGGGGGAACATGGCTGGGACCAACAGCCCCTCTCCTGCCCAGGATGGAGCACTATGTCTCTCTGCCTGGGGACAAGGCCGCTGCACACATGCCTATTTTCTTCATTTCCTTCCCATCGACCAAGGACTCAACTTGGGAGGACCGGTACCCAGGTGAGGCTTGGTGTGCTGGGAGCTGGGGCTTGGGTGGGTAGGGGCAGTAGCAGTGACCCGGCTCTGCGTCCCCAGACCGGTCAACAGCGATCGTGCTAGCGCCCGCCTCATACGAGTGGTTCAAGGAGTGGCAGGACGAGCCCCAGGGAAAGCGGAGCAGTGCCTACGAGACCCTCAAGAGCTCCTTTGTTGAAGCTGCTATGTTGGTCTTCCTGAAGCAGTTCCCACATCTGGAGGAGAAGGTAGGAGGGCAGAGTTGGTGGTTGGTGCATCTCTGCCCCTTCTGTGGGGCTGGGAATGAGGCCTGGGGTGACTGAGCTCCAGGGGAGCCCATGCTGGCTGGCAGCTCGTGCAGGGGCAGGGAAGGAAGAGGCGAGGGTCTCACAAGGTCCCCCTCCCACTCTTCGGCCACCTCTTTTGCCTCTTCAGGTGGACAGTGTGACTGGAGGGTCCCCGCTGAGCAATCAGTTCTACCTGGCGGCTCCCCAGGGGGCCTGCTACGGGGCTGACCATGACCTGGGCCGCCTGCATCCTGGTGCAATGGCCTCCATGAGGGCCCAGAGCCCCATCCCGAACCTTTACTTGACAGGTACGCTGAAGGCCCCATCCTGCCAGGAAAGCTGGGCCTCACTGTCGCTCAGAGTGCTGTTTCTGTTGCCTTGGTGGCTGGGGACCCTGGTCCTAGTCTGAAGGCATCTCTGTGACCCTGGCTTAGGGGCCCCTGTCTTCCCACTACCCTGCCTGGAGGTGGGGCGGAGGGATGCTCACAAGCCTCCGCTCTTGTCTCCCAGGCCAAGATATTGTCACCTGTGGGTTGGTTGGAGCCCTGCAAGGGGCCTTGCTGTGCAGCAGTGCCATCCTGAAGCGGAACGTGTACTCAGACCTTTGGAAGCTTGGCTCGCGGATCCAGGCACAGAAGAAAAAGAATTAGTTGGCTCAGGGAGGAGTCAGAGGAACTGGCACATCCCCTGCCTCACCTGTGTTTTTCTGCATTAGTTCCTTGATCACGTAAAGCACTCTAATTATTGTTTCTCATTTTTGGATACAGGTCCAACACACAGGTCTAGCATAGATGGTGGTTCTTAAACTGAAGCTCCTTCACACCTTTTAGAACATGCTGTTCCTACAAAACGCACAGTGTGGGCTACAGACGTGGGTGGCTTTCATGACCTGTCAAGCTGCGCTCTGCATCCCACACCCATACCTCCTAAGTCTGAGCCATCAAATGGAATATTCTCATCAGGTGGCTAGAACCCTTGAGAGCTTGGGTCAGCTGAAGCAGGGGGGTCCTGTTGGTTTGAGGCTTCTCCTCCGGTTCCCCCTTAGTGCCTCACTGCAGGAGTTCTACGCAACAGAGAGGTGTCTGGTGAGCATGGTTTGGCTTGTAGTTCCACAGGATCAGAGGATGCAGATCCTATTTTTCTGGTTCCAGTGGCTCTTCTGAGTGTGGGGAAACTCCTGTGATATGGCCCATGTGGATGTGGGGGCTGGCAGTGGACAGGACGTGTTAGCTAGCAAGGTATATACGTTATGGGAGAACATCCAATTCATATGCGGCAGGGGCCTAGGCTTGTTTTCCTTATGATGGGGGTCACGCTGGGTTCTCACCGTGTCAGCACCAGGATACCCTCCCAGACCTCAGGGCCTGAGCCCCAAGGCGTAGCTTCCTAAAATACACAGCAGTCGGGGCAGAGGCCTAGAAAGACAGCTTCACTAGGGTTGACATAGGCGGAAAGCATTCCAGCCAAGGGTACAGCAAAGGATAAACACTGGGAGGTAACGAGTGTATTATGACAAGCAGCCCAGTTACCTCTGACCTAGAATCAGGGCTGCCTGGTGAGGAGGAATGGGGTTGGAAGTAACGAAAAGGTCATGGAAAGTTACAGAATGTGTGCAATGCTTGGGAATGCGTTTCCAGTGTGTTGGAACTTACATGGGGATCGGGTGGGAAGGTGAGTGAAGGTGCTAAAGGTTAAAAAAAAAAATGACCTTTTCCTTATTAACATGCCTTATTTCAGTCAATTTTAATGCAGTACTAATAACCTTAATATTTAGAGCAGGATTAAGAGGTACAATATAATCATTAATACTAAAATAACTTCATATGGGGACAAATGGTTACTAGACTTATTGTGATCAATTTTGTAATGTATACAAATGTCAAATCACTATGTTGTACACCTGAAATTAATACAATGTATATCAACTATACTTTTTTTAAAAAGAGGAAAAAATTAAATTTATTAATTTTATAGCTTTAATATTTGAAATTTATTTTGGTTTCTGTGCAGAGATACAAAACTACGTGGTGATGGCATTCACAGAAGCTCAGTAAAACATTATATGGAAAAATACTTATCGTTGGACCAAATAAGCTTTAAAGAAATAACTCATCATTAAGTTACAAGCTAGAAAAATAAAACATTGCAAAACAGTGGTATTCTGCTAATTGGGTGAACAAAAAAGAAGGGAAACAACTTCAGCAATCAACCATTTATTGAACACTTTAAAGAGTTCTGAATTAAAGGAATTCCAAAGAGTGTGAGGAAGCTGGCCTTGTTGGTAGCTTGAAACCTGATAAAGCTCAGACCCAATGCTTTTATGAGGAGTTTCAAGATTGGGGTATTTGGGAAATCCACATGTGACTTCATGAAACTTGGCTGAGATTCAGTCCTGGTTCTGGATATAGTTAAATTTGAGAAATCTCTCCCCAGGTTTCCTTCTTAAGCAAGGCAAAGCCAGATACAATGGTCCCACCCAGAATGTTGAGGAGATAGCTGGCAGAAATACAGGGTCTGGTGTACAGTGTACTCTCCTCCCTGCTCAAATGATTCAGAACATGTGCAAGGTTTGCCAGTTTTCATCTCACATGCAGCAGCATTCCGTACCAAGTTACCCTCCCAAAACGAGGGGCAGGCTTGTGAATTATATGATGTGAAGTGGGAGGAGGAAATGAGAATCACTATTGGGAATGTGAGAAGTTTAGAGGTCTATCACCAAAAGTTTCACGAAAAGTCATCATGTGGCAAGAAATGTGAGTGTACAGAGCTAGTTGTCAGGTCTTTCTGAGTTAACTTAGCCTTTTTAGGTAGACTCTTCAAATGATTCTAAAGCACAGATTCCTCCAAATAGAAACCACTCTTCAACCAAAAACTGGGCAGCAAAGCAAGCACAGAGCTGACTGGATAGGGCAACTCTCCTGCCTGCCCCGCGCCCCACCCCTGGCTAGAGAGATCCTTCCCCTACCACCAGCTCACCCTCATCTAAACAATCTCTAGGAAAACACAATTCAAAGAGTCTATCTTCAAAACGACAATGACCCAGAAGACAACTTTTCCTTTGGTGTGGGAGATTTCTTTCAGTGCAATTTCTAAAGTGAAACTTAAAACTGTATTCTTTCACAGAAGAAATCATCCTGCTCAGAGGCTCAAAAAGTGAAGCTACATGGACTCCACAATACGTATGTGTCCACCTGGTGCCAACCTGCTCTCGGTGCCTGAAACCAATCTTGCTTTCTGCTCTCCTACTTTCTAGCAAAATCCATCAATAAGGGCAACAACCAGCAGCCGGAAAGCGGTGTGTGAGGCATCAGTCAGATCACAGCCAGATGTCCTAAAGAAAAAGCATGTCTCCATTGTGAGAAGAAATGAACTCAGGTTCCCAGGGACTGCCCCATGTGAGGCAGATTTGCAGATGGTGCCATGGGCGCTCCCGCGAGGAGCTTCATTTTCTTGGGGAGATCAGACAGAGATGTCAGATACTGACTGCACAAGTGACATTCTGTTTACTGGAGTAAAACAGAAAGAGCTGATCAGGTGAGGTGGGGGATTAGGAAGGTGCATGGGCAAACTGGAGCTGGGGCCTGAAAAAACAGGTTTTGGGGAGGCAAAGGAAAGAAGAGAAGGGGGTGTGCCCTAACTGAAAAACAGCCACCAGAAGTCAGGGACTGGAGAATGTAGCAAGGATGTTGAGGCCTGATGGTTGCCTGACAAGAGGGGCCTTAGGCCCTGGAAGGATGCAGGGAAAGATGGGCAGGACATCACCAGCCTGCAGAGCTGTAAACACCAGGGTCCATGAGCTTGATTCTCAGAGCCACAAGACAGAAGCTTCGGATCACTCTGGTCTCTACACACACAAGACGAAGTGGACAAGAGATCAATGAAGGTGGCTCCTAGGGGGAAAAAAAGATCCAGAAGGATAGTGAAATGGGTGGGGGTGTGGGTCAGGGAAGCAAGGAAATTGGAAAGAAAGACTGTAGCTAGAGATATTTTTCTTTTTAATGGATAGGAGTTTTGTGCCAAGAGATAAAAATGTCAGCTCGGACTCAAGATGATTAAAAAGACTGGGCAATTGAGAGGGGCAGCTTAATGTGTAGAAGAAGAGAAATTTTGTTTCAGTGATAACAGTGTGACAAGCTGAAATGTTCACCACACGGCAGGACAGGGTTCTCTGGGAACTAGGCCGAAGATAGAAACTTGGGAGTCACTCATCCGTCACTCATCCAGAGGCTAAAGAATGAATAAGTTTCTGAGGAGACACAGATAGACCTGTCTTTGCAGGCATTCTCCGCCACCAGCGCAGGGAAGGCAGAGGAGTTCTCAGAAGCCAGGGCACAGAGACCACAGAGGGGAGGCTGAACTTGGATGGTGTAGGTGTCCAATTCTGTTCAGGACAGGACTAAGCTTTGAGAACAAGCCACTGGATTTGGTGATCTGAACCTCTGGGAAAACATTCTTGGCAGAAAGACAGGGACTAATGAGTTTGTAAAGGTTATGAGGAGGATGAATGGCAAGGGAATGGAAGCTATACTTCCTGGAGAAGATGAACAGCAGAATGGACCACAAACAGGATGGATGGGAGCAGAGAATCTGGGCACACACATAGGTGGAAGGAAAATGGTGCCAGTGGAGACAGGCAGAAGTAGACAACATCAGAGGGGAGGAAGAAAGGCAGGGAAGAGGGAGACAGAGAAGGAAATAAAGTAACCATGGTCTTAGGGGATGATGTCAAGAGTCTTCATTCCTCACCTTTACAAATGTCACCTGGAGAGGATGAAAATCTCCACTCAGTCTTGGGCTGTTTTAAGTGAGGTGGAAGATACCATGGCAAACACTATGGCCCCTTTTTCCACCAGACTTCTTCAACAGCCCTCTTCCTCTCACTTCTTAACTTTCTTAGAATTTCCCTGAGATTAGCTATTCTCTTTCAGGATCTTCTTTGCAGAAACAACTCTCTTAGGCTCTCTATAATAGGGTAGCACAACATTTAAATGAAACTTCAAACAATGGTCTTATCTAGGAGGTTACCCTTGGTTACCCCCCAGGGAATTCTCTAAATTTCTTAAACTTTAATAACACCTGACATGGGACAGAGGGGGGAATTTTTACTAATTAGCCTTGCCATTTTATATCAGATAAGAGGACCCTTAACTAGACTTAGGTAAATAAGGGAGTATAACCAGTTTGTAAATATAATACAAATATTTTAGGCAATAAAGGCAAAATAAGAATTTGTGGGAAGCCTGTTTCTTAAAAGTCCTTTAAAAAAATGCAGACCCAAACCAAACAGTCCTACATGCTTTCAAAGCATGAACTCACTCTACTTCAAAAAGTTCTTGTAAGGGTGGTAAGCAGGCATAAACACAGTGTTTCGATATCGTTAACTGTTATTTTTAAAACATCTGTGACAGGGAACAGTGGCTTTAAGCTTTCCTCCCAGAATCCCCAAGTTCAGTTTTCTGCTCAGTACAACTAAATGCAACTGGATTCACTTTGTCTTAAGTGATATGAAACTGTCAGAAGAGCATGAAGAGCTTGCACTAGGCAGGCTGGACTCGAGGGCAAGAAAACCCGTTTTGGTTTGCTGCTGGAGACTTTGAAGAGAATCGTTTTCACAAGAGCCCTGAGGCCATCAGCAGTTACCATCTTCTCTATCTTTTGTGGGGTACACATCCCCACAAAGGAAAAGGCCTTGGGAGCAATGGGCCTTAACCTGCAGTTTTCTCCTAGGCCCTCGAAGGTAAATAGTGTTGAGTGCAATGGTGTTTTCAAGGGCTAACCACCTTTAAGCCAAGGCCCCAGGCAGGGCACCTACCCAGGGCCAGGATCTCCCTTTGGTCACAGCTGGGTGCCCACATGCTCCGCCACTCACACTCAGAGGGGGACAGCCTGGAAGACACCAGCATAAATAACGGGAACACAGGAGGACAAACTCACCAAAGTGCAGGTGCAAAAACGAAAGCAATGCCCCTTCCCCACCTCTGCTAGCCCCGACCTGCCACCAAACCCTGGAGGAGGGGGTGTCTCTTAGGTCACAGTGTTTTTCTCTTCGTTATTCTTGATTTAGAGACAAATCAGCAGGGAGGACAAGGTTCTCAAGAACAGAAAAAATCAAATCTGAAACGAGAGCAATACAATCCATTGGTAACTTTCATCTGTTTTCAGAGGAATATATCTTACTGCTGGGATGCTAGGGCTGAGGGGAAGAGATCTCCTAGGATTTTCAGTTCAGTGGAAAAATTCAAAATGAAGACAAACTGACCCTCACTGTACAAAGAGCAACAGATAAAATAAAAGATTTTAATCCCAATTCTCAGGGTGAGTCAAATGCCTGTTAAAACTTGTTAAGTGCTGGTCAAGTGTGAAAAGTATAGGCAGGGAGTCGAGGGAATTGCTCTGAGGTCTTGATTTTTCCAGAAACTAAGGGGGAAAAGATCACGTGTTTTGGGACTTCCCAATGGGATTGCATTGGTCCAATGGTTAAGACACTGCCTTCCAATGCAAGGGTGCAGGTTTGATTCCTGTTTGGGGAGTTAAGATTCCCACATGCCTCACCTGCCAAAAAAACCAAAAGGAAACCAGAAGCAACACTGTAACAAATTCAATAGACTTTTAGATAAAAAAAATATCACAGTGTTTCTGGGTCTGAGCTTCCTCATCTATTGAAGGAAGATGTTGCAGAGGTTCTGAGAATCTTCTAGCACTAACACTGCAGACGTGCTTACAGGGATGTTTGTATGCTGTGGTCTGGGAGGGGCAGAGGCAATGGCAAACAGCAGCCCCAGAATCAGCTGTTGCCGCTGTACCAAACACAAGCCCATGGCTGCGTCCATCTGAGATTGCGTATTCCTCCCTCCTCTCTTACCTTCTGGTCCAAACGTTGGTAGTCAGTGGCCTTTGGCCGCCGTGTAACTTTGGATCTTTTTCCTTCCAGGACGAAAGCTATAATCTGGGGAAAAGGACAAGAGAGTGATTAATAAGTGACTTTATGGTGACAGATTTCAGTCTCTGAAATTACAGGTAATCACCTGGCAGCCCATTTGTTAATGATCTTGACAGCAAAAACAGTAGGCCATTTACAGAAAGGCCCTATTGACAATTATAAGGAGAACAGGGCCTAGTTACATCAGAATCCTTTATCCTAAACAGGAAATGACAGGTGCAAGACAGCTGTTCTAGGCTCTAGTCAGCTGGAGTCTGTGTGATTTACTCAAGAGAATGCAGCCTATTTAAAAGCAGAAACATCACCCTGCTGACAAAGATCTGTATAGTCAAAGCTATGGTTTTGCCAGTAGTCATGTATGGATGTGAGAGCTGGACCATAAAGAAGGCTGAGTGTTTAAGAATCGATGCTTGTAACTGTGGTGCTGGAGAAGACTCTTGAGAGTCCCTTGGACTACAAGAAGATTGAGCCAGTCAATCCTAAGGAAAATCAACCCTGAATATTCATAGGAAGGACTGGTGCTGAAGCTGAAGCTCCAATACTTTGGCTACCTGATGCAAAAAGTCGTCTCACTGGAAAAGACCCTGACATTGGGAAAGATTGAGGGCAGGAGGTGAAGGGGGTGACAGTAGATGAGATGGTTGGATGGGATCATTGACTCAATGGACATGAGTTTGAGCAAACTCCAAGAGATTGTGAAGGATAGGGAAGCCTGACATGCTACAATCCTTGGGGTACAAAGAGTCAGATGGGACTTGGTGACTGAACAACAACACAGTGAAAAGAACTGCCAACTCCTCCCCAACTGAGACTCCTCCAGGCTAAGCAAGTCCCCCTCCTTTTATCTTAATATTAAGCAATAATTACTTCTAATCTGCAAATGTACTCTTTCACCCCACACTTTACTTCATCTGAACCTTACCACTCTCATTTCATACTTAAGGTAAGTCTCCATGATAAGCACTTGGATGTAGAATAAGGAATGTACCTTAAAAAAAAATTTTTTTTTCATGGCCATATTTATGTGGCATTGGGGATCTTAAGAACTCCAACCAGATATCAAACCTGTGACCCCTGCAGTGAAAGCACGGAGTCTTAACCCCTTAACTGTCAGGGAATTCCCAGCAATGTACTACTTTTATTAAATGTCTTCTCTCACTTCTCACAGTCCTAGGCCTTTTGACTATCATGAATTGAACCCTTCAATTTTAGTCAGACTATTAGAAACTACTAAATTCTTAGGGCTCATAAGAAATGCAATCATTTGGGGAAGAATCTGAAAATGAATATATATATAAAAGCTGAATCACTGTCCTGTACACATAACACAACATTGTAAATCAACTACACTTCATGTTTTTTTACATTTCAGTTAAAAACAAAAAAAGAAATGCAATCATTTTGTCGTTGGGACTGGTTACTAAGCAACACAACAAACCCTGCTGAAGTAAAAGATGAGTATATTCATATGCAATTTCTGACCTTTCTTCTAATCAGAAACTCAGCTGCAGAACATGGACCCCTGGGTGCTCTACTGCTGGTATTAAAGACTCTGTAACCATTCTTTCTGTTTCTGCAGGTGGAAGACAAACGCTTGGGAGAGGAAGCTAGAAATAAGACGACAGGAAGCACTGAAAATAGGAAGATCACTGCTTTAACTACATACAAACTGTCAGGTCCTCAGGTCCTCTCTCAGGATGTGAAAGATTCTAAGTTCCAAGATTATGGGAGGAGACCTTCATTTGGGTCAAATCATAATAATGTACTAACCATCACATCTGATGCAACAGCAGAGGGTACTCAGAGGAAACAGATGTGAAAATAAATGATTTCTAAAACAAAGGGAAAAAAAAAAAAGAACCATAGAAAACCCAATAGAGAACCCTGGCAGAATCTCAGGGAAAAAAAAACACGGAAGTTTATTAAATTCCCGGGGGGGGGGGGGGGTGGAATTCCCAGGGCTTACAGGCTGACGAGTGATGGATACTCACACACCAGGCTTTCTGGGGGGAGGAAATCCTACTCCTCCTCCTAAGGCCATTCTTGCCTTACCTTCCGCTTATTGTGGTAGGCGATATAGAGGACAGCGACGAGAATGGCTGCTGTCACCAGATATGCAAAAAAGTGGCTGCTCTCTGCACTGGCATTTCCAGGGTTATCCTTATAAAGGTCACTCTTCTTACTCCAGGTATTCGAAAGTGTCCCTTCACGGTTCTCCCTGGAGGCAGGGCCAACCATTTCTTTCTCTTCTTTGGGTGGTGCGTCTTCCTCTGGCTCTGTATCCCCTTCCTCAGGCTCCTTGGGCTCCACATCTTCAGTTAGTTCTAAGGGCTTACCTTCTCCCTCCTGCTGGGGAGAAGAGGGGTCTGCCAACACTTTTTCCCCAGGTTCAGTTCTGGAAGTCTGCAGAGGTTTGCCAGCTACTGTGTTTACATGAAGCTTGGTGGACTCCTTGTTATCAGAAGAGGGGCTGGAGACCAACTTGTTGGATTGGTCTGTGAGGGAATTGCCAGGGTCGGCTTTCCCGGGGTGCTGTTCGGTTCCCGAATCGCCAGCTTTCTCCAGGTGCTGCCTGGCTCCCGAATTGTCAGAGTCAGCTCTCTCGGGGTGGTGTTCGGTTCGCGACTCGCCAGGGTCAGTTTCCTTGGAGCCCTGCTTGGCTACCGAATTGTCGGCGTCGGTTCTCCCGAGGCGCAGCTCGTCTGTCGAATTGTCAGGGTTGGTTTTCTCCGGGCCCTGGTCGGCTCCGGCATTGCCAGTGTCGGGTTTCGCGTCGGTCTGGTTTACAGAGGTTTGGTTACTGGGTTCTTGCGACTGAGCGATCAAGCCGTGCTTCCCGGAGCTTCCTGTAGAAGCCTTATCTTCCTCTGGAGCGCCTGCTCCGGCGACTGGAGCAGAACTGAGCAGCAACTCTGAAACAGAGAAACTATCTGGCTGAAGAGAGGCAGTCGGGGAGAAAGGACTCCTCAGAATGTTGCAACGGGCAAACCGGAGGGGAGGGCTGGCGAGCGGAGCGGTGGCGAGGTTCGGGCAAGGAAGAAGTGAGGTCAGGGGCCGACAGGCCACGGTGAAGATGACGGGCCCGGGGGCGAGAGTGGGATTACTGGGGGCTGGTCTTGGGACTGCGGTGGGGTGGGGGCGGGGGGGAATTCTTACCCGCTGCCACGACGCTCAGTAACACGAACGAAACCCGGAGCCGCATCCTGCACTGATTGCGCTTCCGCCCCCTAATGCTCTCGCGAGATCAGCACGAGGGCTTAGTGTTATGCCCCGCCCCTTCCTGTGTGCGTCGCCGCAGCCCCACCCAGGCAAGGGGCAGGGATTGGCAAAAAGACCGGCAAGGTGGTGGTCCGCTGTTTCCCGAGAGGTGTGACAGCTTTTCCTGGTGGCGGGGCTGTATTGTTTCGTGTAGAAGGCGTATTTGTCTTTCCCTGCTCTCTTAGCTCCGCAGCGGCCGCTACAAACTTAGTCCCCCTTTCCTTCTTTGCTCTGTACTTACGAGACAATACTGGGTCGTTGGGGCCTGGCGCTTGCTCGCTCCCATCCTGTATCTGCCTTTCTATCTTCTCCCTCTCGTGGCTCTTTCCCTGCAACGCACAAACGTGTGGAAATCTGGAAACAGAAACCCACCCTGTCACCTTTGTAGCGGGAGTCTTCGCAACCCTGCTCCCTGCTGTTTTGATCCCCACGGAAACGGTGTCAAAGATCTTTTCTAAAAAGTTCATCTGTTTTCTGATCGTGTCAGTTACTCATTCATGCTAGAAAATTCACCGAATGAGTACAAGTAGAAAACAGAATCTCTGCCCCACGCTTCCAGAGTAGTGACTATCAACGTTTTAGTGTATTTCTGTCTTGCAAGCAATATTTTTGATTAGGTAATATGATCTAAGGTTGAAAAATCAAAGTGGGATTTATTTTTTGAAAAGTTCACATTAGAAAGTTGCTGAAGCAATTATCTTTAAATAAAAAATCCTAAAAAGTTATTGTGGGATTTCTCTTGTGGTTCAGTGGTTAAGAATCCACCTGCGGATGAAGACGTGAGTTCTGTCCTTGGTCCCAGGGGGCAGCCAAGCCGGTGGGCCACAGCTACTGAACCCAGTGACACAGACAGAGCCAGCGCAACAAGAGAAGTCGTGGCAATGAGAAGCCCCTGTTCTCTGCAACAAGAGGAAGCCTGAGCAGATTAATAAATAAATAATAAAAGAATGTTTTTGCTCTCTAGCCCTCCTCCACAAGTTCCAATTCAGTGATTTTTTAAAAACAAATACAAGTAGGATAAATATAAATATACTCCCGCCCCCTGCTTCTTAAGTAGTGTGTTTTCACAGTCTTTTATTCTATAATTATTTTCGCCCAAATTGCAATTATTGGATATATAGTTTTGTATCGTGCTGTTTAAAATTTATGTTGTGTTCATACAGATGATGGGAAGAAAATAGTGTGTTTAGGAGTTAAACATTTAGAAAGCTGTTGCAGTAGTCCTAGAAGGACTAGCATAGGTACAGTGAGAATGGAGGGAAGTGGTTGGACTCAATATAAATTTGGGAGGAAATACTAACAGGCCGTGGAGATAGATTGGCTATGGGAGGGAGGTGTGATGTGAGTAAGATGTGGAAAACCAGATTTAATACGATTGGGGGACTAAAACTGAATTTATTCTTGCCTATGAGACAGTCAAGTAGAAATAACAGAGAGGTAGCTGGAAACGTGAGCATCAAACGTGAGTAAAATGGCACTCTCCCCTAATTAAATATTGTCAAACATGACTGTTAATGGTTTCATAAAAATTTATATTTATCATTGATTTTGTGACAGTTTCCTTATTATTGGGGTTCTGAATTATTTTCCGTTTTCTTCTGTTAGTGATTACTGTTTATAATCAGGTACTGATTAGGTGCCTGAGACAGAACCTCAGAAAACTTAAGCAGCTTGTTTAAGTCATGCTATTATCTTACCCATCCTTGGTAAGTGACTATGCTTTATCTGCTAATTTGATAGGAGAAAAATAGTCCTGGTTATCTTTTTTAAATTAATTTTTTAAAAATTTTATTTATTTTTGGCTGTGCTGGGTCTTCACTGCCGCGCAGGCTTTTCTCTAGCTGCAGTGAATGGGGACTACTCCTCGTTGCAGTGCATTGGCTTCTCAAAGTGGCAGTTTCTCTTGTGGAGCACAGGCTTCTCGGGCAAGCAGGATTCGGTAGTTGAGGCGTGTGGGCTCAGTATTTGTGGTTTCTAGGTTCTAGAGCACAGGCTTAATGGTTGTGATGAAGCCTTAGTTGCTCCAAGGCTTGTGGGGTCTTCCTGGACCAAGGACTGAATCCATGTCTCCGGCATTGGTAGGCAGATTCTTTACCACCGAGCCACCAAGGAAACCGGTTATTCTTTAATGTTTACTGCATAAATAATTCACCTGACTTTGGGCAATTAATTGTTTTAGGTATCAATTTCTTCATTATGAAGTGGGAATAAAAGTGTTGAGGGTGAGATAATTCATACAGTGTATTTAACAGTATCTAGCATATAATTGGAGAAGGCAATCGCACCCTGCTCCAGTACTCTTGCCTGGAAAATCCAGTGGATGGAGGAGCCTGGTGGGCTGCAGTCTATGGGGTCGCTAAGAGTCCGACACGACTGAGTGACTTCACTTTGACTTTTCACTTTCATGCATTGGAGGAGGAAATGGCAGTCCACTCCAGTATTCTTGCCTGGAGAATCCCAGGGACGGGAAGCCTGGTGGGCTTCAGTCTGTGAGGTCGCACAGGATTGGACATAACTGAAGTGACTCAGCAGCAGCAACGGCAGCAGCAGCAGCATATAATTAAGGCTCCCCCAAATTGTTATAATTAATACATTCACTATAGAAAAATTAAAAAAAAAAAGGATAAACCAAAGTAAGAAAATAAAAAGGTCCTGTTCAGTTCAGTCGCTCAGTCGTGTCCAACTCTTTGCGACCCCATGAATTGCAGCACACCAGGCCTCCCTGTCCATCATCAACTCCCGGAGTTTATTCAAAGTCATGTCCATCGAGTCAGTGATGCCACCCAGCCATCTCATCCTCTGTCATCCCCTTCTCCTCCTGCCCCCAACCCCTCCCAGCATCAGGGTCTTTTCCAATGAGTCAACTCTTCTCATGAAGTGGCCAAAGTATTGGAGTTTCAGCTTCAGCATCAGTCCTTCCAATGAACACCCATAACTGATCTCCTTTAGGATGGACTGGTTGGATCTCCTTGCAGTCCAAGGGACTCTCAAGAGTCTTCTCCAACACCACTGTTCAAAAGCATCAATTCTTTGGTGCTCAGCTTTTTTTATAGTCCAACTCTCACATCCATACATGACCACTGGAAAAACCATAGCCTTGACTAGATGGACCTTTGTTGACAAAGTAATGTCGCTGCTTTTTAATATACTGTCTAGGTTGGTCATAACTATCCTTCCAAGGAATAAGCGTCTTTTAATTTCATGGCTGCAATCACCATCTGCAGTGATTTTGGAGCCCAGAAAAATAAAGTCAGCCACTGTTTCCCCATCTATTTGCCATGAAGTGATGGGACCAGATGCCATGATCTTAGTTTTCTGAATGTTGAGCTTTTAGCCAACTTTTTCACTCTCCTCTTTCACTTTCATCAAGAGGCCCTTTAGTTCTTCACTTTCTGCCATAAGGGTGGTGTCATCTGCATGTGTGAGGTTATTGATATTTCTCCCAACAATCTTGATTGCAGCTTGTGCTTCCTCCAGCCCAGTGTTTCTCATGATGTACTCTGCATAGAAATTAAATAAGCAGGGTGACAATATACAGCCTTGATGTACTCCTTTTCCTATTTGGAACCAGTCTGTTGTTCCATGTCCAGTTCTAACTGTTGCTTCCTGACCTGCATACAGGTTTCTCAAGAGGCAGGTCAGGTGGTCTGGTATTCCCATCTCTTTCAGAATTTTCCGAGTTTATTGTGATCCACACAGTCAAAGGCTTTGACATGGTCAAGAAAGCAGAAATAGATGTTTTTCTGGAACTCTCTTGTTTTTTTGATGATCCAGAGGATGTTGGCAATTTGATCTCTGGTTCCTCTCTTTTCTAAAACCAGCTTGAGCATCTGGAATTTCATGGTTCACATATTGCTGAAGCCTGGCTTGGAGAATTTTGAGCATTGCTTTACTAGCATGTGAGATGAGTGCAATTGTGCAATATTTTGAACATTCTTTGGCATTGCCTTTCTTTGGGATTGGAATGAAAACTGACCTTTTCCAGTCCTGTGGCCACTGCTGAGTTTTCCAAATTTGCTGACATATTGAGTGCAGCACTTTCACAACATCATCTTTCAGGATTTGAAGTAGCTCAACTGGAATTCCATCACCTCACTAGCTTTGTTCGTGAAGATCTTTTTTTGTACAGTTCTTATGTGTATTCTTGCCACCTCTTAATATCTTCTGCTTCTGTTAGGTCCATAACATTTCTGTCCTTTATTGAGCCCATCTTTGCATGAAGTGTTCCCTTGGTATCTCTAATTTTCTTGAAGAGATCTCTAGTCTTTCCCATTTTATTGTTTTCCTCTATTCAAATGGGTATATCTTTCCTTTTCTGCCTTGCTTTTCACTTCTCTTCTTTTCACAGCTATTTGTAAGGCCTCCTCAGATAGCCATTTTGCTTTTTTGCATTTCTTTTTCTTGGGGATGATCTTGATTCCTGTCTCCTGTACAATGTCACATATCTCCGTCCATAGTTCATCAGGCACTCTGTCTATCAGATCTAGTCCCTTAAATCTATTTCTCACTTCCACTGTCTAGTCATAAGGGATTTGATTTAGGTCATACCTGAATGGTCTAGTGGTTTTTCCTACTTTCTTCAATTTAAGTCTGAATTTGGCAATAAGGAGTTCATGGTCTGAGCTACAGTCAGCTCCCGGTCTTATTTTTGCTGACTGTATAGAGCTTCTTCATTTTTGGCTGCAAAGAATATAATTAATCTGATTTCAGTGTTGACCATCTGGTGATGTCCATGTGTAGAGTCTTCTCTTGTGTTGTTGGAAGTGTTTGCTATGACCAGTGCGTTCTCTTGGCAGAACTCTATTAGTCTTTGCCCTGCTTCATTCTGTACTGCGAGGCCAAATTTGCCTGTTGCTCAAGGTGTTTCTTGACTTCCTATTTTTGCATTCCAGTCCCCTATAATGAAAAGGACATCTTTTTTGGGTGTTAGCTCTAAAAGGTCTTGTAGGTCTTCATAGAACCGTTCAACTTCAGCTTCTTCAGCGTCACTGGTTGGGGCATAGGCTTGGATTACCGTGATATTGAATGGTTTGCCTTGGAAACGAACAGA